ATTTGTATTCATTTCAGAAGAGCACTCCCATAAACCTTTTCGTTTATAAAGCTCCATTTCAAGTATCTAGTAAGTATCTAGTATCTACTCTTTCTTCTGACTCAAATGTTGAGCTCTATTGTTTTAAATATGCATTACTGAAAACAGATACATTTTAAATCTTACTTCTCTGTGTGATACTGTGAGAATATTTTATTACTGTATTATGTTTGATGATGAACATATATAATGCACAAAGACAGCAGAAAAACATATAAACTGTGTCATTTTTGCAAACAGCTTAGCCCAGTTCAGCAAGGCTACTACTACTCAAAGAGGTCAGAGTTCACATACAAAATATATACAGTGCTAGGCACCAATGGTTTATGCCTGTAATCCTAGCTACTTAGGAGGTTGAGATCTGAGGATCACCTTTCAAAGCCAGCCTGGACAGGGAAATCTGTAAGACTTTTTTTTTTTTTTTGCCAGTTGTGGGCCTGAACTCTGGGCCTGGGCACTGTCCCTCAACTCTTCAGCTCAAGGCTAGCACTTTACCACTTGAGCCAGAGCACCACTTCCAGCTTTTTCTGCTTATGTGGTGCTGAGGAATCAAACCCAGGACCTCATGCATACAAGGCAAGCACTCTACCACTGAGCCACCTTCCCAGCCCCGACTGTAAGACTCTTAACTCCAATTAATCACCAGAAAGGCCGAACTGAAGCTGTGGCTCAAGTGTTAGAGTGCTAGCGTTGACCACAAGCATAAAAGCTTAGGGACAGAGCCTAGGACCTGAGTTCAAGCCTGTGCCAAAAAAGTATGTGTATATATATATATGCATATATACATATGTGTATATATACAGATATACTCATGTGTATATATACATGTATACATATATATGCACACATATATATGGCAAGGAGTTGAAGAATAAAATAAAAATGGATTTCTTCCTCCTAATTGGACTAATGTTTATTGTGCCCATTTGAGAGAATGAGGTCTACTCATTTTGTTTTGCACTTGATTAAAGTGTCTAGTGGGTAAAGGGTCCTCCAAACAGCGCAATGTACAAGCTGAAGAGCAATCAAAGGATGGAGCATGTTTAGATAGATTAATTGCAATCCAGATCAGTCCTCAGTGCAAAGGACTCAGTAATTTAATTTGTTTGGCATATGATCAGCAATAGTTAAAACATGGCCGTACTCTAAATCAAACAAAGTGATCTATAGGCAGGACTAAAAGTTTCACTCTTGGAGTGAATCTGGAACAGGAATTAGTTGTATGATTTTAGTGATTAATGACATGAAATTTTGTAAGATGAAAGCTTCATCATTCAACATGGAACATGTGTATCAGGAAACTAAGCTGTTTTCTTTTGAAGGGCCTAGGTACTCCTTCTCTGACCACAGGCTGCATAGGTACCTAGTGATTTATCTACTCAACTATTTCCAGACACAGTTTTCTTTCGTCTATCCAGTGTTTATCCTGAAGGATTGTATTGTCATCAATTCAATTCTGTCTTACAAAATTATAATCACACTTCAATAGTGCTTTCTGGAGAAAACATCCTTATTTTCTTGAAAAAGGTTTTGCTATTTCTGATCTTCTTGGCCACTCACTTACATACTAGCCCAGCTACAGTTGAGCAAAAAATCCATTTAGAGCTTATTTGTTAAACTCCCATAGTACAATTTTAATTATTATACTTTTGTTTGGATTCTCATCTTGTCTTTCTCCTTCTTTCCTTTTTTCCTAACTTCCTTTTCTCCTTTCCTCTTTCCTTCCTTCCTTCCCTTCCTCCTTCCTTGTCTCCTTCTCTGCCTCCATTTCTTGTGTTTTTTTTTTTTTTGGTTGGTCGTGGGGCTTGAACTCTGGGCCTGGGCACTGTCCTTCAGCTCTTCAGCTCAAGGTGAGCACTCTACCACTTGAGCTACAGCGCCACTTCCGGTTTTCTGGTGGTTTTATTGGAGATAGGAGTCTCACGGTCTCTCCTGCCCGGGCTGGCTTTGAACCGCGATCCTCAGATCTCAGCCTCCTGAGTAGCTAGGATTACAGGTGTGAGCCACCAGCGCCCAGCTTCTGCCTCCATTTCTTACTTTCTCTTTTTTTTTTCCATGCTGCTTGAGATCACCCAAAGTGCATCCCTAGCCCTTATTCTTTTGGAGTCAGGGGGTTTTGTTGTTGTTGTTGTTGTTTACTACATAGCCAAGGCTGGCCTTTAACTCATAATCTTTATGCCCTGACCTCCTGAATGCTTGGATTACAAGAGTGGTGGCCCACTTCTCTATCACTTTTATGTACTACCTGTGTTGTCACTTCCCTTCCTTTATTCTCCTCAGTGTAAAGATCTTATAAAGGCCTATATTTACAGCTGAGAACATGGATAACCATTGACTTTGGTTCAAATATTTTTATAGCTCTCAACTCCTTGAGTAGTTTCTAAATGTGATCCTGTAGAATATCCTGTAGAATATTTGTAGACTATCCTGTAAGATATTCTAAATCTCACATTTTATACATAGGTCTTATGTGAACCTGGTTCATAATGATAACACCTTCAGTCTCTGCGTTTTCAATTATTTTTCCCATTTCATTATAAAACCAGATGAGACAATGCAAGGGCTGGAAAAACCAATTGTGTTTTTTATCTTAGGAGAGGAAGCAACTGACAGTGATGCCAAAACCAAACCATTAAATTGTCTGCAGTACTCCTTTTGCTTTAAACATTATTGCTTCCTGATCATTTTAACCTTGAAACCCTCTGATCCCTGCTGCCTATGAGGCTTTAGAGATGGAAGAAAAGACTTGGAGGGAATCCAGGTGGACTACAGTGACAGTGACCTGGGCACTTTCCTTAAAGGGGGCTACCACTGAGTCTGTAGGAAGCAGTTCAGTTTTTCATTATTTCTGTAAAGTTTGATTTGGTGCACATGATACAGAACAAATTCACAGGAGATTTGGAAAGTCAGGAAGGCTGTAGATAATATTCTGTCCTTTTAGGTCTCCTGAGGGTTTGGGGATCAGGCTGACTTTAGGCCTGTAATTCATTTTGCTAAAGAGAAGCTGAGGGAAAATTTCTTGGTATGAAGCCCAATCACAAAAGCTGATAGATCACCCTAAGAATCACTGTTCTCAAGAAGCTGTACAGAAAGGCAGGCACTGGTGGCTGGCTCATGCCTGTAACTAGTTACTCAAGAGACTAAGACCTCAGGATCGGGTTTGAAGCAAACCCCAACAGGAAAGTCCATGAGACTCTCATCTCCAGTTAACCACTAGAAAACTGGAAGTGGTGCTGTGACTCAAAGCAGTAGAGCACCAGCCTTGAGCAAAAGAGCTCAGGAACAGTGCTCAGGCCCTGAGTTCAAGTCTCACAACCAACAGAAAAAAAGAGGCTCTACAGAGAGAGAATCCAGGCACCAAACCAATGGAATATGCTCAAAAAATAAGAATGAGAGAAGGTCAAATGAGTTTCTTATATTGATAAGAGGATACTTTAAACATTTCTGTTTGCATTACAGTAGTCCTGCCTTATCTGTGGAGGATAATGTTCAATAGCTATCTGAAACTCTGGTTATTACCAAACTATTATAATATTCCTATGTGTACTGTGCTGCAGTGTCACCGCCAGAATTTATGTATATTCTGATGTTTTATGTTCTAGTGACATATATATATATATATATATATATATGATATAGATCAATACTTTTGCATTTGGGGGCCATTTGGTTGCTTGAATGCACAAGTACTATGCAAAAATAAGATGGCTAAAAAATGAGTAATTGGTGGGTAGTCTATACAGTGTGAATACACTGAACAGAGGCAGAAGTTCCATATAGGATAAAATAGAATGCCACAAGATTTTATCACATTACTTAGAAGGATAAGTAATTTAAAACTCACAAGTTTTTTTCTGGGGTTTCTATTTAATATTTTTAGACTAAAGTTGATTGTAGGTAACTGAAACTACAAAGTAAAACTTCAGGTGACAGGGTACTGTTGTCTATAATACCTAAAATAATTCAGAAACAACAACATAAATCATGGGATATAAACACCTTTTTAAGAGTAAATTATTACCCCACATATATGAAGCCCTTATGTTCTCCTCTCTGATTATATGGCTCTCTGTTCCCCTATAGGCAATCATGACCTAAGTCTTCCATGAATAAGTATATGTATTCATAAATATATTTTACAAGTTATATCTTTCATATATTATGGTCATTCTGTATGAATTTTTCTGTAACTTTTTGCATTTAGCATTTTTAGGGGTGTAAGTTGATACCTATGCCACTAGTTCATAATTGATTCCCTAGCATTTACATTTATGCTGTAGGGAAGGAGAGATAGAGGGTTCCAAAATGATGACCCTTCAATTGCTAGAAAGGTGATGGAATCTGGCTGGCAGCTGTATTTAATTATAATGGAGGAAATAAGATTTACCCAGAGAATCTGGACTCACTTCAATGTAAGTATCACTTTGTAGTAAGAAAAACATAAAACAAGTACATGTTTACTGATTTAAATTTTGGGTATTTTTTCTAAATTAGGTGCTTCAGTATTAAAAAAAAAAAAGCTAGGTAGTTTTACAAGTGAGGTGGGAAAAATCGCCTAATTAGTTTTTTCTCTCTTTTGCTTTTTCTACCTTTCAGTGTTTTCTACATTCACTCCCAGGGAATGTGATTCCTTCCCTGGAGATTTGAATGATTGAAGTTGACCATCATTAGTGAAACCCACCTGCTGCTTGACTGTACACCACAGCAAAGACTTCCAAGACCTTTATCAGTTAAAACAATAATGACTTTCTTGGAATGCACTCCCAAGAAAGCCTATTTTCTGTTTAGCCTGAAAGAAAACCTAGCCATTGTCAGCAATTCTACAGACACCTTATAAAAACCACTTTTAACATAACATCTAAGTGACTTGGGGTTTGCATTGGAAACCTTAACATTTATACAGATCAATTTATCTTCTGGAAGATTCAACCACTGCTCTTCAGAGCTGCTGCTGAAGTATCATGTCTACGAACTCGGAGTTCATCAATCTGTCATTTTTATTAGATCATGAGAAGGAAATGATCCTGGGAGTCTTAAAGAGAGATGAATATTTGAAAAAAGTAGAAGACAAGAGAATAAGGTAATATTATTTTATTGTTTTTGCCCTCCTTAACTGCTTTCAGCTTGTTTTAAACAATTTAGATCAGAAATATGATAAACTCAACTACACTGGAGACAAGATGTTGGTCTGGGATTATTATCACTTTTCAGATGTATTGTAAGTATTAGAAAATATTGTTATTACTATATCATTTAGCCAATTAAGAGGATGGATTTGAACTAGTAATAGGATATTGAGGGAAAAAAACTCATTTCCTAACAATATCATAAGTAGTACTTGAGGACTACCTATGTTTGAGTCCCAACCCAGGCACATATTAACTGTGTGACTTAGAGAAAGTTAATTATTATAGTTTAGATCTAGACTGTTCCCCCAAGTCCCATTTTAAAGGCTTGTTCCACAGCCTAAGGAACTATTGGAAGGTTGTAGTATATTTAAGAAATATGAGTGTCATGGGCAAAGTTGAGATTCACATTGACGTTGTACAGTACTTACATTTATCTGGCTCCTTGAGTATGATCTCACCCATGTTTCAGCCAGTATCCATGCTGATTGGCTGCATGATCTGCTCTGAATTACTACATCATTATTCTGATTGGTTGCTGCCTGCACCGCCTGTACTATTCAGCTTTAAAATGTATTCGTATAGTACATTTTGTCCCCAAAGATAGGATACACATAAATAAATATAAAGAATGTTACCCCCTTGGTCACTGTAACTGTGTAATGTGGAGCTCTTGTGTCTTCTAAAACTTCCCAAACTATAGTCTGAAGCTCATGTGTAGTCTTTAATTTTTAAAAATTGAAGGGAGGGGAGTCTGGAAATTATATCTAGGCCTCATACATAATTAGTATGCACTCTACTACTGAGCCATATTACCAGCCCATGAATCTTCTATTTGCTTGAGGAAAAACATTTTCATAATATTATCTTATGTTGCAAAAATACTCAGTGCACCTCAACTAGGACCCTTAGAACTGGAACTACATTGAAATATATCCTAGAGGCTTTATTTCTACTTTTGCTACACATTTAGCCAAGTTTTGAAGAAACAAAAATTTGTATTAAAATTGTGGAATTTAAGCCAGGTGCCAGTGGCTCATGCCTGTAATCCTAGCTACTCAGGAGACTGAGATCTGAGGATCGCAGTTCAAAGCCAGCCCCTTGTCTCCAAAAACCACCAGAAAACCGGAAGTGGTGCTGTGGTTCAAGCAGTAGAGCGCTAGCCTTGAACTGAAGAGCACAGGGACAGCGCCCAGGCCGGTTCAAGACCCACAACTAACCAAAAAAAAAAATTGTGGTATTTTATGTGCCTAGAATTTATGTAACGACAAACAAATCATTTTAAAGAATCATTTTAAAATTTTGCATTACTAGTCCAATCATGAAAGTTACTGAATTTTCTAATGCACCACAAAAAGTTACATTGTTTAAGGGCAATTGTATATTAGCTACTTATTGATGACATTCCAAGGGAAATTGAAAAGCACTCTCTTTAGGGAGAAATAATTTAATAACCAGATCTCAAAAAGCATTGAAAAGTAGTAAATAGGATTTGTTCAGAATATTTGCTTCTGTCATTTGCATTAACTTTTTAGAAATATTCTGTTATATTCCCAATTTCCTTTCCTGTTCTATTTTTCTGTCTTTTTATTTGCTATAATGGTATTCAATCAAGTTGTATAGTAAACAACAGAGATGTTAAAAACAATGACAATAATAATTTCTTGGATTTTAGATCTCTTTTTGAGAATAACAGAAGAAAGACTCTTAAAAAAATCCCCAAGAGAGCCTTTCATAGGAAAATTCACATTTTTATTTATTTATTTTTTTTATTTAAAGCTATGGTTTTCCCCTCATTTCATAACACCATGGCTATTATTTACTGAGCATAAATGTATTAGGTATAGTTTCATTTTGTCCTGAGTCCCCAGGATAAGAGAGCAAGCTAGATGACTCAGGCCCGGTTACTCTTTGTAGTTTGAGAAATCATGCCACCGTGGGTGGCATGATGTTTAGAGTACAAACTGTTGAATCATAACCCACAATTCAAATCTTAGATGTACCATGAGACACTTGAGAGATGTTTTCATAGATGAACCTAGTTTCCTTATTTGACAAAATAGAAATCACAATATTAGCTACCGAATAAGTTTGTTGTCAGGATTAAAGCTTATATTATAAAGACAAACATAAGCACTTGGAAAGCTCTTGTTATGATCATGATCCCTGTTGTTGGCTGTTTCCTTGTGCACTAGACACTAACAGTGCTTTGTTTAGATACTCTGGGGTCCCTTTGTTGGATCTGTGTTCTTATTTCCTAGTTTCATATGCTTTACTTCTAAAGGACTTATACTTCTAAAGGACTTATACTTTCTACTTTATTAAGGGAAAATCTCACAGGAATTTCCCACAGAATTAGAGAGCCATAAGTGACAGATAAATGAAACTCTAATCTGGATAGCACAAAAACAATGACTAACAGAAAAACCACTTGTCCCAAGACAGCATTTTCTGCAATGCAACTTTCACTCCAGAGCATCCTACGGTATCATACTGAGGCTGGACCTAAAGAACATAACCTTGCTTGGCCCATCCCCTTTCCTTTCCTACCTCCTTTGCTCCTTTACAGATTTTCCCCGAGAGTACTTCCTATAAATCACTTGCACACTAGTGTACATCTCAGAATTGGATTCTGCAAAGTCCAGCTTGAGACAATGTAAAGCTTTTTATTACTGAAACTTTTGCTATTGAACAAACTTTGTTTCATGAGAAAACTATCCTAAGTCTAGAAGTGAACATTTGCTCAATATAGAAGTTAAGATGGTCCCAGCAATTTTGATCATAGTTATCAAGGTTTAAGATAAAGAAATAGGTGAGGCAGTACAGCCCAGATTAACCATATTGGTCAGATAGTGTAATTTTCTGTTGCCTTTTACCATCTAAACTCTTCTGATTCTCCCTCCTTTTACTATGAGTTTAAATACAACTTGAATTCAGTTCAGAATAGCTTAACTCTGACTCATCAGATCCTCATGATAACTGAGTTCTGCAAGTATTTTTGATGACCTGCTTTACTAGCTAATAGTATGGACTGTAGAAGAAAGACAGAATGATATGAAAGAAGACTCTACAGGTATTCCAGTATAGAATTCAAGGATTCTATGACCATGAATTGAGGAAACATTATATCTTTATCTTTATATAAAAAGTTAAACTAAATCTAACTAAGATTTAAACTATGTTTTAACAACTCCAGTTATCTGTAGGCAGTAAACTACAGTAGTATTAAATGGACCTGTGGCTTTGTCACCAAGATACATTACAGGAATTACCACATCAAATTTATGTTGTAACACAATTTCAAAATATTGTTTATCGTCACTAGTACTTTAAAAGTATGGTATTTATATCAGCCACTGGCTTTTATTATTTAATACGTAAATAACGTTTCTAAGATTTTAGTAAGTATAATTCAGTGCAGCCAATTTTCTTTGTAAACATATATAATATGTAATATACAGACAAAACCTAATTCTGAGAGGGAGGTCCTTAAGCTTCACCAGATTGGCAATGGGATCTAAAACCATTAAGGTGTCTAATACAAACATGCGCAGTCTAGTGAGGGAGAAAAGTGTGATTGCCTCCACTTGAAGACAGTCAAGCCATAAGAGAAATACAATTGTTTATTATTCAGTCATTTTTGTGTTCTCTTCAGATCTTCAACAGATCGGATAAAGATCAACTGTAGTGGGGCAGGCAATCCATTTTATACAGCCTACTGATTCAAACATTAATCTCATTTAGAAACCTGGATACCAAAGCAATCAGAAACAATATTTAGCTAACTTATCTTGTCACCCAGTGGTTCAGTTAAGTAATCTCTATCTTGGAGACTTATATAATATTAGTTTATTGCCCCTGTGCCATAATTTTGTGAATTTTATGGCTAATGCTGTCTTTGTATTCCTGTTTGTGTAGAACTAACTCTCCTTCTTTGCATCTAACCCTTTGTTGCTATCCCTTACTCAATTTGTGCCAGATCAGACAGGGAACTTAGTTCTTTTACTTTAATACCTCCCCCAAGCATCAACATCTGTATGCTACAGAGATGTAAATTGATATTTTGTAGGAGTCTAAAGGATGAAATAATTATAAATAAAATAGAAATTTGAGAGATGCTTTGATATTGTCTTTGAAAACAGAAAAGGATTTCAAGATTATTCAATATAGGTCAGCTGGGTTTCAGTTCTTCATGATGTGCTACAAAATTGCCTTTAGATCAGAGTCAAAAGAAAATAAAAGCCAAATAATTTTTAACTGTACCTTTTTTCTTTTCTCTTTTTGTACTGGGGATTGAACCCAGGACATTTCACTTGCTAGACAAGCACTTTGCCACTGAACTATATCCCAGCTCAAATTTTTAAGAATTACAAGAATTATAAAGAAAATAACCTGAGCTGGGTGCTTGTGGCTCAAGCCTGTAATCCTAGCTACTCAGGAGGCTGAGATCTGAGGATC